GGGGGGAGGGAGAGATAGAAGGGGACATAGAGGAGGGGAGAGAAAGGGGGAGGAGGGAGAAGGGGCAGAGGGGGGAGGAGGGGGAGAGAAAGAGGGGAGGAAGGCGAGAGAGAAGGGAGGGAGGGGCAATGGGGTCCTGAGCTGTGGCTTCTCTCCCCCCACCCCCCTCGGGCAGAGCTAGACGAGGCTTCGCGAGCGCTGGAGGCCTTTGAGCTGAAGAAGGCGGCCGCCCGGGCAGTGACCGGAGCCCTGGCCTCGCACCCCAACAGCACCGATGTCCACGTGATCAGCCTCTCCCTCACCTTCCATGGCCAGGAGCTGCTTAGCGACACCCGGCTCGAGCTCAACTCTGGCCGCCGTTACGGCCTCATCGGCCTCAATGGCACCGGTGAGACTCCCCAGCCGCGAAGCCAGGAAGGGGGGTGGGGCCGGGGCTGCCACCGCCACGGCGCCGCTTCTCTCTCTCTCTCTCTCTCTGCCCGCAGGCAAGTCCATGCTGCTGTCAGCCATCGGGAAGCGGGAGGTGCCGATCCCGGAGCACATCGACATCTACCACCTGACGCGGGAGATGCCGCCCAGCCAGAAGACGCCGCTGCAGTGCGTGATGGAGGTGGACACTGAGCGGGCCATGCTGGAGCGGGAGGCCGAGCGCCTGGCCCACGAGGACGGTGAGACTCCGGGGTTCGGTCGATGGGCTCTTTGGAGGGGCCGGAGCCCCCTGGCTCTGGCTCACAGTGCCCCTCCTCCTCCCCCTCCTCCTCTCCCCACAGCCGAATGCGAGAAGCTGATGGAGCTGTACGAGCGATTGGAGGAACTGGACGCCGACAAGGCGGAGGCACGAGCCTCCCGAATCCTGCACGGCTTGGGCTTCACCCCCGCCATGCAGAGGAAGAGCCTGAAGGACTTCAGCGGTGGCTGGCGGATGCGGGTGGCGCTCGCCAGGTGGGTTTGGTGCCCCTCCCCACTCGGGGAACCCCCGGCCGGCCTTCGTCCCCCTCTCTTCCGTTTCCCTGACGGGACTTTCTCCGCAGGGCCCTCTTCATCCGGCCCTTCATGCTGCTGCTGGACGAGCCCACCAACCACCTCGACCTGGACGCCTGCGTCTGGCTGGAGGAGGAGCTGAAAACGTGAGTCGGGGAATCAGGGGGGGGGATTTGCCGTCTTGGAGGGGGGGTCCTTTGGCCGGGGCGGTGGTAACGTCCGGCCTTGCTGTTGCAGGTTCAAGCGCATCCTCGTCCTGATCTCGCATTCCCAGGACTTCCTGAACGGTGTCTGCACCAACATCATCCACCTGCACAACCGCAAACTCAAGAACTACACAGTAAGCGGGGGTGGGGGTGGAGGCCCGTACCTGAGCGGCTCTTCCTGAAAGGGCGGGGAGGAGGGGCCCGTTTCCGCTGGCGGGACCCCCTTAGGCCTCTTCCTCCCTGCAGGGCAACTACGATCAGTACGTGAAGACCCGGGTGGAATTGGAGGAGAACCAGATGAAGCGCTTCCACTGGGAGCAAGATCAGATCGCCCACATGAAGGTAACCGGCCCGGCTCCTTCTCGGGCGCAGGAGCTTTGGGGTTCGTCCCGGCTGTGCCCAGGTGGCCCCCGAAGCATCAAAGGAACTTTTGCCTCCCTGTAGAATTACATCGCCCGCTTTGGGCACGGCAGTGCCAAGTTAGCCCGTCAGGCTCAGAGCAAAGAGAAGACGCTCCAAAAGATGATGGCCTCCGGGCTGACCGAGCGCGTCATCAACGACAAGGTGAGGGCTAGCGGTCAGGATGGGACCCCGAACGGCCCCGGGTGCGAAAGGAAAGACGTGCCAAGATGGCCACGCTCCTCCTCTTGTCTCCCCAGACGCTCTCCTTCTACTTCCCCTCCTGTGGGAAGATCCCGCCTCCCGTCATCATGGTGCAGAATGTGAGCTTCCGCTACAGCAAAGACGGGGTGAGTAGGTGGGAGGGAGGGAGGGAGGGAGGAGGAGGAAGAGGGGGGGAGGGAAGACGGGATGGTCAGCCTCTGTTGCTTGCCTCCCTCCAGCACTGGATCTACAACAACCTGGAATTCGGCATTGACCTGGACACGCGGGTGGCTCTGGTGGGGCCCAATGGGGCCGGGAAATCCACACTGCTGAAGCTGCTCACCGGAGAGGTAATTACTACACACACACACACACACAGAGCCCACACACTCGTCTGTGGTGGGTCTGATGGGTGTCCGAGCTCTGCCTTTCCTCAGCCGCCTCTTCCTTTGCAGCTGCTCCCGACGGACGGCATGATCCGGAAGCACTCACACGTCAAGATAGGCCGCTACCACCAGGTGGAGTTGTGGGGGGATTCCTCCTGGGAGGCCCTTGTGGGCTTGCAGGGCGTTGTGGGCCCTGGTTAGCCGGGCCTGGTGCTATAGAGACCCCCCCCCCAAGGAAAGGCCTTCCAGAGGTGGAGGGAGGGAGGGGAGCCTCTCATTCTAACGGGACCGTCCCCCACTGCCCACCCCAGCACCTGCAAGAGCAGCTGGACCTGGACCTCTCTCCACTGGAGTACATGCTGAGGTGTTACCCCGAGATCAAGGAGAAGGAGGAGATGCGCAAGATCATCGGCCGCTACGGGCTGACCGGGAAGCAGCAGGTATGCGTTGTGTGTTTGTGGGGGGTTCCTCCGCTCTGCCTAGCGAGGGGGTTGGGGGGTGCCAGGCGGGATCTTCCCTCAGCCCGGAGGGAGGGAAGGTGCCCCAGACGCCCCACATGGATGCCTGGCAGGTTCCCAGCCGCAGGGGATGCTACCGTCTTGGGGACAATGGTAGCAGCCATGACAGTCTCCAAAAGGTTGGGGTTTCCTTGGTTTATTCCATGTGTTCCGTCTCCCTCTCTCTCTCCCGCAAGAGGCACCTGGAGGGAGGGAGGCCTCCTCCCCGCTCACACAGCCCCGGGTTCCTTCCCAGTCGCTCACCCCAGGCCTTCTCCTTTGGCCTCTCCTGCCTGGGTCTTGGGAGGGGGGCTCTGAGGGTCAGCAGGAGAGACTGGGGGGGGGGGCAGTTATGGCTGACCCCCGTTGTTGGGGGCAGCTGGAGAGGACAGCAGGCCAGCGGAGCGACCCGACCGGCTGTGCCCTCCTGCGGGTGGGTCAGACGGGGCCTTCGTTCCCTTTGGCAGGTCAGCCCCATCCGGAACCTCTCTGACGGCCAGAAGTGCCGCGTCTGCTTCGCGTGGCTGGCCTGGCAGAACCCCCACATGCTCTTCCTGGACGAGCCCACCAATCACCTGGACATCGAGACCATCGACGCCCTGGCCGACGCCATCAACGACTTCGAAGGGGGCATGATGCTGGTCAGCCACGACTTCCGCCTCATCCAGCAGGTGCGTCCCAGGGAGGGAGGGAGACACGCGGTCAGTCAGACGGACACGGGCGGAAGCACACGGGGCAAAGCCACTTCTGAGTGGCCCCTGGGGCATCCTTGCCAGCCAGAGCCAGGAAGGAGACGTCTCCTCCCCCTCTCCCCCCTTCTCCCTCTCCTCTCCCCCCTCCGCTCATGGAGTCACCCTCCCCTCTTTCCCGCAGGTGGCGCAGGAGATCTGGGTGTGTGAGAAGAAGACCATCACCAAGTGGCCTGGCGACATCCTCTCCTACAAGGAGCATCTGAAGTCCAAGATGCTGGTGGACGAAGAGCCTCAGCTCACCAAGAAGATGCAGAACGCTTGAGCAGGGCCGTGTCCCCCCCCTCCTCGCCCCCGTCCCCCGGGAGGGAGTGTGGGATTGGGGGCAGCCAGCTCCTCCGCTCTGGGAGACCCTGGTGCCGGCCTCCCCGGGGGAAGACGGGCAAGGCTGCCCCCCGGCCTCCCCTCGGCTTCCCCCGCTGCCCGCAGCCCTGGCGGAGACTGCAAGAGCCTGGCTTCCTGCTTCGGATCCACCACTCCAGAGCCTCCGTTTCTTTTTCATAATTATTTATTAGTGTAATTGCATTCCTGCCTGAGGAGTCTCGGCCAATAAAGAGAGGGGAGCCTCACGCTTCCGCCTGCTCCTTTTGGGGAGGGGCTGGGGGAGGCAAGGGGGGGTTGGCAGTCCAGGCTCGGTCCAGCCTTCCAATGGGGTGTTTCCTGGGCAGTGGGATCTGTGGCTGCTTCGGATGGGGCCGCTCCCAGGAGCCTCTCTGTTTCCGTGTTGGGCTCTGTGGCTGTGGGGGGGGGGGAGGTGGGGGGTTGGGAGTCTCCCTCCGTTATCAGACTCTTACCGACCCAAACGCAATGGCCGGTTCTTTCCCAGGAGTCCTAGCAGGAACATCCCCGCGTGGTCCCTGCAGCCCTCCAGACGCCCTCGAGGCCAGAGCCAGCTCTCCGCCATCGGTGGGCCCCCACCCCTTTGCAAAGGCGGCCCAACTGCGCACACCCAAAGTCACTTGCTAGCCCCCCCCTTCCCCCTGCATGTAAACCCCGTAAACCAGAGGATGTCAGTCTAGCTCAAAGGGCAGGGGGGGGGGAACCAGCCGGGGGTTGTGCATCTCAAGGCCCCTGCGAACCCAGTGAATTGTGGCAAATAAAAACCCAACCCCTGTACATCTTAGCACAGGTAGTCCTCGACTTATAACAATTCATTTAGTGACCAAAGTTACAGCTGTGCTGGAAAAAAGGACCATTATTCGCACTTCTGCCCTCTGCCACATCCCCAGGGCCACACAATTTACATCCGGACGCTTGACAACAGAGTCACAGTGTTCCGGCATTGCGTGTTTCCCTTTTGCGACCTTCTGACCGGCAAAGTCAATGGAGGGGGCCAGGTTCACTTAACGACCGTGGTGCTCATTTGAACAACTGCAAGGATTCGCTTTAACAAAAGAGGTGGGGAAAGTTGTATAACGGAGCAAAATTGAAACTGAGTTTCTCCTTAGCAACGGAATCGTGGTCGTAAAATTAATTTCATGTCCTGTAGCTTTAAATTAATTTTGAAGGAACCAGGTTAATCTCCAAAACTGAACATTTCAACAAGAGAATAATTATGGAAGCTATTGAAATAGAGAAACACCCCCACAACATGGATAAACAATATCTCCTGCCTACCAGATATCTGGAAACCAGCCCTAATCAACAAACAAGCCCTACCCACCACCCAGGCTGTTACAACACAGAACAACAACGGAGGCACAGCCTTACTGAAGGCAACTTACAACTTACTGAAACAACAGCAGCACTGCTTTTGTCTCACTGATCGATGATCTCTGGAGAGCCAGAGACGGGGGCCGTGCCTCCGTTCTGGTTCTCCTGGACCTCTCAGCGGCCTTCGATACCATCGACCATGGTATCCTGTTGCGGCGGTTGCGAGAGGTGGGGATGGGAGGCACCGTTCTTCGGTGGTTCTCCTACCTCGGCCAGGTCGCAGTCGGTGTTGGTTGGAGGACAGAGGTCGACCCCTAGGCCCCTTAATTATGGGGTGCAGCAGGGGTCGGTCCTGTCCCCCCTCCTGTTCAACATTTACATGAAGCCCCTGGGAGAGATCATCCGACGGCACGGGATAGGATACCACCAATATGCGGACGATACTCAATTGTATCTGTCCGCCCCGTGCCAACTCAGTGAAGCAGTTGACGTGATGTGCCAGTGCCTGGAGGATATGAGGGTTTGGATGGGGGTGAACAGACTGGCTCTCAATCCTGACAAGA